TTTTAACCCCATGAAATTTTTTCAAGTCCATCAAATTTGTTTAAAAGTCAGCAATAATTGGTCAATTAATTAGCAGTCAACTTTGGTTTTTGAGCTATTATTAGTAGTCCATTGTCTATACCGGAGTAAAAGTAGCGAATGCGGCTGATCGAGCGAGCGAGAGCATGAAGCAGGGTGTGTGAGTGATTGCTTTTTGTTGTGCCGTCCCAGGCTCGCAGCACGTGAGCACTGGTTTCCGTAGTTAGCGCAACTAGAAGGTCCCAAGTGAACCTGGTGTTATTTTCTATTTAGTGTTTATTTTCGTAAGTGAACGTCCAACAAACGAATGTAAATGGGCTGGCCCAGCTAGCTCCACCACCCATTTTTGGTTTGTGAAGCTTCCGGTTAGTTTTTTTTCTTTTTCTTGGTTTCTTTCTTTTGGTCGGGTAAAACCTGGTTTTCGGCATGGTTTATTTCCTTTCTCATTGTTTTATTTTATTTGTTTTCGGTTTCATTTTTTGTTTCAAATTTGTGAACTTTGAATTCAATATATGTTTTCAAAATCCATGAACGTGTTTTCAAATTTGTGAAATTTCTTCAAATTCGCAAAACTATTCATGAAATTTTTTGAATTTACGAATATTTTTGTGTACAAGGATATTTATTGTATGTATGATTTTTTTCAAATTCATGAACATTTTTGGATTCATGTATCTTTGTCAAATTCGTGAACCTTTTATAAATTCATGAATTTTTTCAAACTCATAACCTTTTTCAGGTTTGTAAACTTTGCCCAATTAACAAAAAGTTAACGGGCCCAATGGTCAATGGGGAACCGTTAAGCGACCGTGGAAGCGATCGAGCGAGCCGATGGAGCAATCAATTAAGCAAGTCGTGCGTTAATGGGCCAGCCATACCGAGCATGCGCCTTAGCGCTGGTTGGGGGCAACGAGCGTCTTAAGCGCTAAGTAGGACGTCTTGAAATGGGCCTCAGCCCTATGAATTTCACATATAGATAGCAGTAGAGAACATAAAATCATTGAAGACATGTATCTTGGGCCAGCAAATCAAGGAGTTCTTCTTATCATGGAAAAGGTTAGGCGGAGAGCTCTTGCTTCGTCGCCTTTAGCGCAGGGAGCCAAACCAATGCCCGCGCTGACTCTAACGGGACGCAGCCTAAGACACTCCTCACACTGGTTGTTGGTGCGATTCGGTCGCCTGGTCGTAGTTACTCCGGATTTGGTGGAGGAACTTTGCAGTGGATTTATGAAATGGCACCATCACTCCCGATTGGCTGGCCGCTGTTAACTTCGCTCAGGAAAAATATCACATAATCAAAAAGTTTGCTAATTTGAGAAAAGTTCGCAATCTGAAAAAATGTTTGCGGATTTGAAAAAAGTTCACAAATTTCACGTTTTCGTGACAAATTTTTGCTTGTTGCCTAGCAAGTTTGCTCGTGGCAGCTAATTGGTGCAGCTGCACTAATTAGCATGTGGGAACAAACAGTAAGACAGATCGGCTTAGGAGCTACCACAACGGTTTACGACACAGCCATCCGATCGTCCTGCCGATGGCGTGGATTTGCCAGTCGTCCCGCTACTCTAAGCATGCTCCACCTTTTCTTTGTCATCCAGCCCATGCGTTACAATCAAGCCAACTTTTTTGGGTGACTGCTCCGGGGGATTTCCTATTTAGTGCTGCAGGCGCCGGTTTTTAGCTGTTTTCGCAAACCGGCGCCTGCAGCCGCGTTAACTGGGCCTGGCCCATCTTTTCCTTTTCCTTTCCTTCCTGTTGTGAGGACAAAAAAGGCGCGCTTTGGATGGGAATCGATCCCGCGACCTCATGGTCTTTTGATGCACTAACCACCGCACTAATTCATATTAGTTGACTAAACTACTGCTTCTTCACCTTTTTTTCTTACAACGATTCCTTTTTCATATTTCTTTTTCCTTTTTATTTGATATGGTTTTGTTATGTTTTTTGTTCTTTTTCTTTTTTCTTCTTTTCGGAACGGTTTTATATTTCTTTTGCTAATTTGAAAGAACTATTTTTCAAATCGGTGAACTTTCTTTCACAATCGATGAACTCTTTTTCAAGATCGATGAACTTTTTTCTAAATCGATGAACTTTTTTCTAAACTGATGAAATCTTTTTCAAAACCAATGAACTCTTTTCACAATCCATGAACTTTTTTTCAAAATGGATGAACTCATTTTCAAAATCGATAAACTGTTTTTCAAAACTGATGAACTTTTTTCAAAATCAATGATATTTTTTTCAAAATTGGTGAACTCCTTTTCAAAATCGATGAACTGTTTTTCAAAAATGATGATCTTTTTTAAATTCGGTGAACTTATTTCAAAATTGATGAACTCTTTCCCAATTTGATGAACTTTTTTCAATTTTTGTTAACTTTTTTCCAAATTTGATGATTTAAAAAATGGATGTAGGTTTCCAAATCTGTGAACTTTTTTGAAATCTCGATTTTTTTTCTTTTTTGTGATTTTTTGTTTTACGTTTTCATCTTTTTTCTAAAGTCAACGGTTGACCAGTCAGTCAACTGGTCAACCGCGACCGTACGAACAGCCCTCGAGGCTCTCGATCGAGCGAGGGACCTGGCGGGGCGAGTTTAGCGAGCGACCGGGTGTGGTCGCCACATGGGCCGGCCCATGATTCAGCGACTGTGAGCGCCAGCTCCCTTAGCTGGCGCCTGAAGCGCCAACTAGGAGCTCCCCTGCTCCGGAGGGTATACCTGGGCAACCTATGGTTAATTGGGCCGAGGAAATGGCAACTAGGCCTCTCATTCTTGCCTGGTTAGTTGGTTTTGACTTGCGAACCAATCTAGACTTGACATTGGTATACCTAGCCCACCAGAGTTCAAGTCCTAGACTTGACATTGGTGCTCACATTATTTTTAGATTTATTTCAGACTCCCGACGATGCTTGTTCGGTGGGAGAAGACGTTTCCGTCGACTGCGAGGCACCTGTGATGACTTCGTAAAATCGTAAGATGCTATGCCGGCTCAGTTTCTCGGAGATGCTCATAGGGATAGGGTGTGTGTGCATGCATTTATAGGGGTGAGTGTATGCCCGTGTATGTGAACTACTTCAATTGTACTGTGTTCCAAAATAAATGGTTCTATGTTTAAAAAAAATTAATATAAAGTTGAGACACTAATTTTGAGATGGAGGGAGTACATTTAAAAAAAAACGTAAGTTATGCTACACGTCCTAGAAACATTCATATGCAAGCTTTACTTAGATTTTTTTTTCATAAAGAAGAAAGGTCTACTTAGTTTTCTTTACCAAAAGAACCAGAGAATATGTGGACAGTAAATAATAATAATTGACAGATGTCAACTTTTTAATCACTACTGAATCTTTATGTTGTAATCATATACTCCATCCTTACTGTATCCATATGTTTACAAAATGGGAAACGTTTGAGATCGGAGCTCCGGCCGAACGCTGCGCCGGCCGCGTCTCGCTCTCTCGCGCATGACTTGCCCATGTGACCCGCACATCCACGTGGCCATGGTCCCACGCGCCGCTAATCTCAACCTACAACCTTTTGCACCGCAGAAGGCTTATCTCTTCATGAGCGCTGGTGGTCATCCATTTTTCTTCCACGGGAGAGAAAGAAAAAGCACGCATGACCGGCGTTGTGCTTGCCCAGCCACCCTCTGCTTGCCGCGGCTGCGCTCCAGTGGTGAACCTGCTCGCGTGCGCGCCACTCCCGCTCCCGGCGGCATCTGCTCGAGGCCCGTCAACATCTGCTGCAAAGGGCGCCCGACAGCCATGGGCTGACGGTGCGGCGAGCGGCACCGTTGGGGGGTTGAACGGCAACTGCGGCCTGAAGAAAAATGCTTCAACTGGCGACACGTTTGCTGGAACCAGCTTAGACATGAGATACAACAAGCCTGCGGTGGTGCTGCAAGGGGGTAGAGGTTGTGTTGTGTTAATGTTGGAACCGGCGTCGAGATTTGCTGGAACCAGCATCTCGATTTGCTGGAACCGCTTCGCGGGTGTGTCGATTTGCTGCGACGATTGCTGGAACCGGCGTCCAGAATTGCTGGAGCGATTCTCTCCTTCGACGGCGCCCACGGGGACCATGGTGACCACGGTGTTTTTTTGCTGCAACCAGCCGCAGCGTTTGCTGGAACCGGCGCCCATAATTGCTGGAACGGGCTTCTCTCCTTCGACGGCGACCACGAGTGCCCATGATGCATCCAGAATTTGTTGGAATGGGCTTGTTCCTTCGACGGCGACAACGGGGGAGGAGATTCTGCGAGTGCGGCGAGCGGCAGCGAGTCCCGGCGATGTGGTTGTGTTTCGAGCTCGGTCAGTTTACCTTCATGGCTATGGCGAGGTGTGGTTGCACTCGGGCGCTCCAATTGTTTTGGAAAGAAACGAGTCAGGAGGAGGACGAAGCAGGGACAGATCTGACGGCTTCCAGCGGTTGCATCGTACGGTTGTGTGGGGACCGGCCGAAAGTTTCCGCCGGCGCACTGGCGCATATCACTCGCCATAGACAGGTGCAGTGACGTGCACGATCTTGACCTAGTGTTTTGTAAAATGCACTCTGCAAAGCCTCCGAGAGAAGAACACCCAATCTGGTGGTGTCAAGGATTTAGTGTAGTTTCTCGCAAAAAAAAAGAAAGAGGATTTAGTGTAGGTTTTCTTATTTTTGAGCAAAGAAGTGTAGGTGAGTCAAGAAAATTGTCTAAAAAAACAGATGGAATTAATGCTGGGGGAAAACATGAGAGAACGTACACAACCAGCCGCCTCAACGCACGCACGTATATATGCTTGCGCAGCTTGGAGCAAACCACGTTTATTTAGACAGACGTCCACAACTCAACCGTACACGCACGCACGTACGTGCCAGCTCGATGGCGTCGTCGACCGTGTAATTAACCACATATTACATTACGTAGACCGCCGTCCACCGGTGCCCGGCATCGTGCACGACGCCGGCCACACGGGGCGGAGTCGATATGTATAGCGCGCCGGGCGGGCGATCAGCACTTGGGCCCGGGGAGGCCGCAGGCGGCGACGACGCTCTGCGCCCTTGGGCTGTTGACGTAGCCGCGGTAGGACGGGTCGCGTGCGTACTGGCACAGGCACGCCCGCTGGGCGCGCAGCCGCGCGCAGCACCCCGGCGTCACCGCCCCGCCCAGCATGATAGCGCCCACGCACGGCCTCAGCGCGCTCGCGTCGCACCCCGCCGCCGCCGCCGTGTCTGCGGCGAGCAGGCCGCACAGGACGAGCGCCAGCACGCACACCGCGGCCTTGCTGTTGCCCATGGTAGCTTGCTTTGCTTGGCCGGTGTTGGCGATCGATCGAAGTGTTGGAGCAGAGATCGATGGTGAGTTGGCTGGTACGTTTGTGTGCGGGTTTGATCCTCATTTATAGGCTGTGTCGTGCATGCATCTTATCTCGAGAATGCATGGGAAGAAGATCGATCGGGGTGGACGCGGATATGGGCGAAGCATGGGCAACGATGCTGCCATGTTCGGTTCATGGTATTGCGACTAGCCGCGCATGGCCATGCATGTGCACCGGGACAAGGTGCAAACTATTATACTACTCGTGTTGGGATCTTTGGCTATGCATGACGGTATGCTTTTTAAACTCAAAGCATGAAAGTCAGCAATGGGAAATGAAAAAAGTGAACTGAAAAACGAAATAATGTTTGTGCTATGGGTTCGCAACAGTCGTGTAACACAAAAATCTATGCACGACAGTGTGAGTTTTAAACTCAAAACAAAGTTATCAAAGCATGAAAGTTAGCAATAGCAAACTAAGAAATAAGTGAATTCAAAGAAGAAATAATGCTTGTGCTATGGGTACAAAACAGTAATGTAACACAGAAATCAACACAAATTTTGAATTCAAACTTGGCATGGGCCGCGCGGACACGTGCCCCCTCTATCACAAATTATAACGTCCACTCTCCCATCAATGAGAGAGGGTAGATCAACGAGCTCACCATGTGCAATATGAATAATTGATCTAGGCCACGAGCCTTATTGATCATCCCACTAGTAGAAAAGAGGGATTTGGTCCAGGCCGGGTTAGCCCATTAGTCCCGGTTCAATCCAGAACCGGGACTAATGGGGGCATTAGTCCCGGTTCGTGAGCCTAGGGGGCCGGCCGGGCCACGTGGGCCATTTGTCCCGGTTCGTCTGGACTTTTTAGTCCCGGTTGGTGCCATGAACCGGGACTAAAGGGTGCGGTGCCCATTAGTACCGGTTCGTGGCACCAACCGGGACTAAAGGTTAGACCTTTAGTCCCGGTTCGAGCCACGAACCGGTACTAATGGGGTTTGAGGCATTAGTATCGGTTCATGACACGAACCGGTACTAAATGTCCCATTTTCAAACTCTACCCCCGCCCCCCTGATCGCCTTTTCAGTTTTTAAAAAAATAAAAGAAAATGATGAAAATGTCAAAAAAATAAAAGAAAATAAGTTTCCCATGTGATATGTGGTCTAATTGTTGGGAAAATTTACAAATATGAATTTCGACTTTATTTGCAAAATCTCTCTAGAATTTTAGTAAAATGAGCATAACTTTTGCATACGAACTCGGATTAAAAAGTTTTTTATATGAAAAATAATCAACTCGAAAAGTTACATCCAAATTTAACTAGGGAACCTTGTTAGACATTTTCAAAATCCTCAAAAACCTAACAGAAAAAAGTTACGGGGCTTTTAAGATCTAGAGTGGAAAAAATCGAAAAAATTCCAAACTGTGGTCAAACAATGGTCAAACTAATTATAGAATATTAGTGTTACTAAATAATAATTTTAGTTATTTTGAATTTTGGTCAAATCTGGTCAAACTGTGGTCAAACAATGGTCAAACTAATTATTCAAGAAATATTAGTGTTACTAAATAATTATTGTTTTTAAGACAATAGTTTCAAACTCAAACAGTGAAATGTGTCACTTCATGCTCAAGCAAAATTTCTGAGGGTTAATAGGATTCACATCTTACTATTGTCAGGAAAACAACAAGTGCAGACTTGGAAACGAGGAAGAATAGAACCCGGAAGTTAAGCGTGCTCAGGCTGGGGGAGTGGGAGGATGGGTGACCGTTCAGGATGTTAGATGATTTGGAATGATGAGGGGTGATTAGAGATTAGAGGATAAATTGAGCAGTGGTGAGGGGTGGTGATTAGAGATTAGAGGTTAAAATAATTCAGAAATTTGAAAACAAAAAGAATTCAAAAAAAATTCATAAAATTTCCTTTAGTCACCAACCGGGACTAAAGGTGGAGCTCCACGTGACCGCGGCCTTTAGTCCCGGTTCGTGTAAGAACCGGGACTAAAGGGGAGAGGCATTAGTAACGACCCTTTAGTCCCGATTCAAAAACCGGGACTAAAGGGCCTTACCAACCGGGACAAAAGCCCCTTTTTCTACTAATGTCCATTGACCCCGTTCAGGTAAGTAAGTTTCAAAGTTGCCATGCCCTCCATTTATATACACTTATTGTCCAAGCTCATCTTCTTAATCTTTCAGTATGGGACTAAACTAAAAATAATTACCCTGGTTCTTAGTCTCAATCCATCAAACACTGGGCCTAATATTTTCTGGCACATCGGTCTCAGAAGAGCCCAAGGACTCAATGGCATAGTTGCATCTAGCCCATCATCACAAAGTCTACAACTTGTTTGCCTAAAAAAAACAAAGTCTACAACTTGTTTGCCTAAAAAAACAAAGTCTACAACTTGCTGCCCTTCAGGACGACCCGTCCACGATGCGTCCACGATGTCGTCGGCTTCTTGTTGCCCTGAACTGAAGAGCTGATAAACACATCGGTCCCAAAAAACGCTTTTATATTATGAAACAAATGGAGTGACAAATATACAATGATTAGGCACGCATGGTCACGCATGGCATGATGCTTGTGCGTGCACCCTAACTCTTGCATGGGGTTAAAGCTTTTTTAGTTACACTTTGACAGTTTTGCTTAAGTTCGCTGGTTTACACGTGTGTTGGGAGTTTTTTCGGAATCACTAGTGGAAAACAGGGCTATGGTCTTGGTTTTAGAGGGCCTTTAGTCCCGGTTCTGAACCGGGACAAAATAAACGGGACTAATAGCTAAAACCTTTAGTTCCGGTTGGCTTACGAACCGGGACCAAAGGAGCTCCACGTGGCCGCTGTGGGGCGCCCAGACAGGAGGACCTTTAGTCTCGTTGGTAACACCAACTGGGACCAAAAGGCAGCCACACGTCAGCAGCTCGCAAGCGCTGGTTTTTTG